CCAAATCAAGATTTTGAGTGCTGGAGTCAGCAATTGAGCAAACATGAGACAACAATTTCTGAGCCACTGCCAGCTGGAATGGACGAATCTGATGCTGTTCAATATTATAACCTGGGAAGAGGCAAAAACATTTGTTCAGTTGTGTGACAGAAGTCTAATCTTATACTCCTTAAAGTCTGCTATCTCCTGGAAGTCTTCACAGCTCATGGTGTAAAGTTCTTTGTATGAAGCTCTCCTGTATAATGTAGATGTTCTAAAGCAATGAAATCCTTCAGACAGAGGGAGAGTAAAGCCTATCAATTTTCAGAGTTCCTCTACATGTTCCCTGGTCCCCAAACTGCCCAAGAACTCAATTCCACACATGTATTGTGAATGTCCCTTTAGGCCTTCATGAAGTCAAAGTCCTCACTTAATAAACAAACTAAGATCAAATAAATGATCCACTTGAAGGACGATCGTGGAGTGGAACTGTAGCCGCGTATACATTAGAATCAATGTTTACTTTCAAAGATTACACATAGGAAAGATGGGGGCTGAGATCAGAGGTCAGTGATTAAGGGGAATCTCAAAAAATTGTTAGGCTTTACTCTACTCTGCTCCCTTTCTAGATGTCTTCATTACTTACTTGTGCACACAGATGCTCCGGTTCCATCTAGAGCTGTTGTTGGCTTATTCACTGAAGCATAAAGAGATGAAGAAATGTGGCCTTGGTTTTCTTGATAAAATTTGTCAAGCAAAAGATCAATGTCACCCTCTGCCAAATTGAAAGGAGAATGAATATTAATATTCATGTTGATAATAATAACACCACATAACTCCAACAGCATTTTTCATCAGGGGGCTTCTAAATACTTTATACACTCCAGTTAGATGCTCTGAAACCCCGGCTTCTGCTATTCTGCACTGAGGCTCTCTTGCTGGCTCCTGTTGGATCTGTATGCACTTTTTAAATCAGGACTGTCCTACTGGCAGCCCACAAAGGTTAAGTTACCACCCCTGGCCTCCCACCACAGCCATTACCTACTGTGTGCATCAGCAGTTGGAGACTCTGGGCTCTCTACTTCCCTCCTCTAGCTGCTGTTTCCTGCCCCTGCCCAGTAAAGAGAGCTGAGGGCACGGGTGGATCTAAAGGGGGTGCTGTGGCATGGCTGCAATCCCTCTTTCATACCAAACCACATCTTGGGAGCTTCTGGTGGCTTTTTTAAAGTCTTCAAAGCATGTAAGACTCCCCTCTGTGTTCAAAGACACTTCCCCATCCCTCCTCTCCCCTCTGTGTCACTGCTGCTTTTCCTGCTGTCCCAAGCAAGAGGGAAGCTCCTGCAGCCAGACCATGCAGGGTCTGGGCTCAGCTAGGAACAGCAACAGCAGCAGCAGTGATGGCAGGGGGAAGGGAGGAATGAGTTCCCCAATCTGCCCAGTCTTCTGGAAGCAGGCATAGAGAGAGAAAACACCCCCTCTGCCCATTGCAACCAGTACTGCCATGGTTCCTAGCCTCCACACAGCTTGGCTGGAGCAGGCAGGAACAGCTTCCCCCACCCCAGGACAATGGGAAAAGCAACAGGGGCTGGTGGGAGAAGGAGGGATGAAAGGGAAAGGGAGGGGCATGCCTTTGAGCATGGAGGGGAAAGGGTGGGGGATTCTTGCCTACTTTGGGGAAAGCAAAAACCCCAGAGACTCCCAATCTATCCACACCAATAGGAGGGAGACTGGTAGCTGGGGGTGCAGCCAGCCCTGCAGCACAGGTGACTGTTTCCATACCTCTCTTGGCCAAATCCTGGATCCACCCCTGGCTGAGAGGGAGGCTGGGGTGCATGGTGCAGCAGGGGAGGAAGGTTGCGGGTGCTCAATGCAGCAGGAAGGGGGCATCCACAGCCCAGGGGTTCATGGTTTACCCTGCTGTGTCCCCCAAAATTGCAGCTCCCAATGGTGTTGCCCATGAGAAGTGTGGCCCCTAGTCATTTAGAAGTTGAATAACCTTGGTTTAACTAAATTTTCACTGGGCCAGAACACAACTCTGCCACCCACTGCTGAGGACATTTTCATGGGTGGATGAAGACCTAGGTTCAAACCCCTACTCCAAAACAAAGCAGAGCAGTAGCTCTTTCAGCCAAGGTGACTACCTAAGCATCAGGCTCTTCTGTTCTCTCATGGGCAGCAGAAAAACACTTTGAAAAGTCTCAGTTTTTCCTTAGTCAGAAATGGATAATTAGGATACATCTCAAAAAGTTTCACAAAATGGGAAGATATATTACCAGGTCTTCTCAGGTGATACACAAAAACAGAAACAAGACACCTATTGATTTGTGCCACCGCATAGGCAACTGGTAGTGGGGACACAGGGGGCATGTGCCCCCCCGACAAGGCCATCCCCACCACAGATGCTGCCGGCAGCATCTGCTGGTGCTCACCAGCTCCGTCCCTACCACCGACACCGCTGCCAGCTTCTGCGGGTACTCCCCCCAGACCCAGGAGGCACCAGTTGCCCACCGTATATCACATTACATTCATCCAGAGCCCTTCTTGTTCTTGGCCAATGAAAGACATTCAGAGAACACAGTGCTAGTATTGTACTGTATTCACTGAGCACTTGTGAAGAAACATTTTAATATACCTATAATTGAACCAAGGACAGCCAGGGTGATTCCAAAGTGCAATCCAGTGAGTCCACACAGTGTGCATAGCAATTATTTTAGGACTTTCATTTACTTCTACTGCTCAAGAAAAAGAAAATGTTCACTTCAGTGCCTTTAAGAGTTGTATTTAAAAGAAACTTAGAGCAGAAGGAGCTTCTGCATAAAAAAGCAAATGATAGGTCAAAGAAAGCAGAATCTTCCTCAAGTAAGTCTCATGGCATTTAATGGGCTTGATGAACTTAATTTCCCCTAGTCACAGCCTCAATTATCCTCACTTGGTGAAATAATAGTTTCGTAGCAATATTCTCTCTCATTTCAGAGGTCAGGATGGAGTTTATACTGAGATGAAGACAAAGGAATAATACTGAGTGACAGGACAAATTAGGTAGCAGTGAGCTAATTAGCTCACCCTCATACCTGTGCAACCAGCTGAGGAGGCAGCCTGCATACAGCAGTGAAGTGTGTTGGATAGAGACTGTGCACAGAGCCATATCCATGCTTTGATATGGGCAACTAATTTCCATTTGTGTTGATGGAAATATATGCATGTATGAATGCAATTTGCACATGGGGATCTGACGTTTTTCAGATAAGTTTTACTTTTCCAGATTGTTATTGTCCCTTTCTGACAGACTCCCACTGAGTTCAAAGGATCAGGCCCTTAGGATCACGTCTGTTTATAGCATGTTATATACCTGGGCAGAGGGTGCTAAAATAAGATCCCAGAGTTTCAACTTTCCCGGTCACCAGTTGATAATTAACTTCCTTCTGGTAGTCTGCAGGGGTGAGCATGCTTTCAGACAGAACTCTTGCCTGGTATTTCCCTAAAAAACAAAAATGACACTTTTTTATATGAAACGTTGAATGCAGTTTGAACCAAAATGACAATGTTCTAAATCAACCTTCCTTGTTCAAACAGTAGTGTTATGAGTGGGGTCAGGGAGCTGCAGGGTTTAACACAACTGTTGCTTACCCCTCTACTATTGGCATGTCTCCAATAGGACTCCTTATGCCAGAATTTAGAGGGAAGCCCTGGTCCTGCTCATCCCACTCCCAAATTTCTGGTCCCTCCAGGAGCCTCGCCAAATAGATTATATGGCTCCATGAGCCAGATCTGGTCTGTACGTCATATCTTTTACCATGCTGCTCTACATTATAAGTAATAATAATACCCAGCTATGGGAATATCCTCAAATTAAAGGTAACACATATCACTCCCAATTTATGCAAACCCCACTCTTAATATTTTTTTCTTTCAGAAGTTGTTAAAGCAGAGAAGACTGCACAGAGTCTCTGGATTTGAACTGTAAAGATATTATTGCATGGGTTTTTATCCATTATTATGTGCATGTTCAAACCCAGTATTTTAATTAAAACTGTAGTGTTCTAGTAATTCTTTTGTCATTTTAATCAGTATGGCCCCAACTAGGCTTTAGCTGTCCCAGGAAGAAAGCCGAGATTAAAAAAAAAAATTGTGAAATTGGGAACATATTCTATTCTCTACTACAAGTACGTTATATTTCTATTAAACACTAAAAGCAGGACAGCTTTCTAAGTAGCTTCAACCAAACCTCAAAATTAGCTTGCTCATTGTCATATATGTGCAAACACTCCTTTACAGTGAGGCACTTCACCCAGAAATGTAGAAAAGTGCATGCACAAATGGCGATGCAAGAAAACTAAACTAATATTTAGCTCTACATGGGAAAACACCGAGCCAATTTCTCATAACAGACAATGATAAGAGTTATACAGGTCGGTCTAAAGATTTTCTCTGTGATCTCACCTGTCACCACAATGCAGGAATCTATGGCTCTGTTTCTGCTAGCGCATAGGATCACCACGTAGTTCGTCTTCACTAGCTTTCCTTCAATGATCAGCTTAAACATTTCTGAAAGTCCCTCAGCTAGAGAGTAACTGCACTCAATGATATGGACACTGTCATTGCAAGAACTGGCAGCTAACCCTGCTAGCCAGGGGAGCTGGGCAGATGTCACTGGTGCAATCTGGCTGGGAACCTGAGGGAAAGTCTGTGGAAGGGCCTGCTGATACTGGCGGATTTCAGAGAGATGAGACTCCCTCCATGAGCGCATGAATATTTGCTCCAAATCCTCAATCAAAGGGACTTGGTCTGAAGCTAAAGAAACATCAAAAGAAGAACAGAGTATAAACCACTTAAAATATGATGCTTAGCCAAAATAAAACCCTCTCATCTGAGAAACAGAGCTAAACAAAATCTTTGACTCCTGGATCCATTTTGGTTTAATACATAATCACTCCATTGTCTTTCCTGAAGTTATATCTAATTTGCAGTATAAGTAGGCCCTCTGCCCATATACAAGCTTTGAAACCAGATTCTGGCCCATATCACAACCCCCTGAGTCTCTTGGTCAATGTGCCTTAAGTAGAAGCTGGACATTCCCTGAGCACTGGGGAATAGCCAGTGCTTAGCACAAGGTATAAACAGGCGTCACCAAATGAAGTGGATCAGCTGTGTTGGGATGTGTCAACTGAGCCACTTCACTGGGTGAGACAGACACTGCCCATTGGTCTACAGGGCCAGGTCCACCAGCTGGCGCCCGATTCTAGAGAAAACACTCAGGCAAACATGCCTCTGAAAACAGGGCAGCCCCAGGTTTCTTTGCTAGCAGAGGATCACCTAGGGAATCCCTGAGCACACCTCTGCAACTGGGAAAACCAATTGCAGATACACCGCAAGTCAGATATCCCAAGCATGCATCTCTACAAATGGGGGAACCTGTGCAGGCACTCCCTGGGCTTTAGGGGCCCTAAAAAACCTAACAGACGTTGACCACAATCAAGTAGCACAAATTGATACCACCTATATTCCGTCTGCAGATTTTAGGCATTTGTGGTGAAACAAGGCACATGGATGTGTGTTTACTTATTCTTTGTGCCACCATAAAAATTTATGGTGGCAGAAGATGACATCTGTTTCCAGCCACACGCTGTACTACCTCCATGTTACTCCATTCCAGCTTCTTATCAGGAGCTAGCCTATATGAGACCATGGCCTGCTGGAGAAGTCCTGGCTAGTACCTAGCAGATATTATGGTCAATGTAAGTTAGAGCACATTTCAGCAAAATGTAGAACCAGGCCCCAGCAGCCCTAGGCATCAGTGGAGTACACATATGCTAATCCTCGGTTCATCCAGTGCTACCCATATAATATTCTGGTACTTCTGTATTGCCGGTGCCTCTTAACTTTACATCATCTGCAAGTATCATTAGCATACTCCAACTCCAAGTTTATTAATGAAAACATGAAATCACACACAAAAATAACCCTTAAGGAACTCAGCTAGTAACTGCTCTTCAGCCCCATAGTTCCTTTTCATTCACCAATGGCAAATGTTTTACTTCTATACAGATGAAAAAAAAACCTCACCTAGCTGAACAAGGTAGTAGACTGTTAGTAACAGCTGCATCTCCTCTGAGATCGGCTGTATTGTGGAAGCACCATACTGTTCATAAGCTCTAGATATAGACTGAGAATTTCTGTAGCAGGTGTACAAAAGTGGACTCACTATGATGTCATTAAGGTTCCCACAAAGATAAGGGAAGTTTCCATGACCTGTAAAATAAACAATATTTGCACTCACCAAATTAATTTAATGTGTATGAATCAAACAGTCTGCTATACTTTAGTACTCAGGAGAATTTGAAGAAGCCAGTGTGATAGTATTCATTGGTTTATACCAGGGGTAGGCAACCCCTGGCATGCATGCCAGAATGTGGCATGCAAAGGCATTTTGCTTGGCACATGTGCCTTAGGGCAGATGGTGGGGAAGGGGCTGGTGGTATCTCTTATATTGCCACAACAAGGATCGGGCCCCAAGCAGCTCCCCACCATCCACCCCT